CCTCGAGATTGCACGAGGCGAATCGCTGGCCCACGTCCAACTTCAGGGTCTGCTTGCGGTGTCGTCCAGCACCACGCTGCCGGCCGTGGGCGATGCCTGCACGCGCACCACATTCCGGAAGGTGTGGACGTGGCACTGGCATCGGTCCACACCTTTTCCTTCGGAAAGATGGCACTCTATGGATCTTGTCTACGACCCAACCGGAGCCACCGCTGGCAACAATTGGCTGGCGTGGAGATAACCCCGAAACTGTGCGAGTGTTAAAAAGAAGCAGTAATCCAACCTGACCCACCACAACCCACAACACACATCATAGCACACTCACATGGACAGGGTACTGTTTACTGTGGAGGAAGAGAGTGCGGAGGCGGAGCTGGACGTGGAGCGTACGCCGCGCGGGCTGGCGCGTCGTCGCATCTTCGTGCAGACGCTCGATGGGCAGCGGGTGCCGGTCGAGGTGGACGGCCACGAGGCCGTGGAGGACATTCCCATGAAGGTCTTCGAGAAGGAGCCCTTTCTCCAGCGCTTCGCCGGAGGGACTGAGGGCGTGGTCCAGGGTCCCAGGGCCGGCCCGAAACTGGTCGACCCTCGCACCGGCCACACGCTCGAGCGCGACCACCAGGTGACCGCGTATGGCCTCGAGCAGGACACCACCCTCAACCTCGTGCTCCAGCGGTACCGCCACCGCCCAATTTGCGTTTGTGGTAGATTGGGCATCGAATGAACGCAACGCGAGCAGGTACCCTACCTACGCCGATTGGCTCCAGTACAAGACCAAGCTGCCTCGCTTCGTCTTCGTGTTCCTGGCTGCGCTCGTTGGTACGTCAGACTTCTCCCCTTGCCTGCCGCATTCACTTTGATGACCATGGTACCGTGCCCACAGGCTCGATGGTGCTGGCTGCGTGTGCGCAGGTGTCCTTCCTGCCGCCCTGGTCCGATGAAGTGCCGGTCACCGGCCAGACCTTTGGTGTGCTCTTCACCGCAGTGCTCCTCGGTACTCCAACCCCGAGCCAACATCCTGATGACGACGACGATGATGATTACGGTGACGATTACGTGCTGCAGGCAAGACCATCGGCGTGCTGGCCACGGTTCTGTACCTGGTTGAGGGAGTAGCGCTGGGCCTGCCCTTCTTCTCGTCGAGCGCCCACGGCTGGGCCTCTCTGCTGGGTCCGACCGGAGGCTACCTCGAGGGCTTCATTCTGGCCGCTTGGGTCGTGGTACAGGGCGAAGCGTCTGTAGTTCGTGGTGTGCGGTGGTACTCACGTGGGTGATCACCACCAGGGCTATCTGGTGGAGAACCACGGGTGGGATAGGCGCCTGATCACGGCCTGCCTGGCCATGGTACGTAATCACCACCATGTGCACCTCCACTACCAACGCTGTGAAAGACTCAACGTGATCGTCGGCCAGATCATTGGAGATCTGTCGATCTATGTGGTGGGCATCCCTTGGCTGGCACACTTTATCGGCTGGTCCGACGGTAGTTCTTCGTTTCCTCCCAGCACCAGCATTTCATTTGATGCCTTCTTCATCAAGTATTGATGATCACGATCTGGCCGCACAGTCTGGGAAAGCGGATTCTACCCCTTCCTTGCTGGCGACGCGTTCAAGATCCTTCTCGCCACCCTGCTGCTGCCCATCGGTTGGGCTCTGCGGGCCTACCGCTACAACAGGTCCGTCCGTAAGCTGGCTAGGTCACGACAAGTGTGGAACAAAAAACGTGGACTTGATTTCTGACTCTGGCTCTATCTACTGCAGGACCCACTCGAGCGCGTTGCCCATCCACTTCAGGAGCGTGGGGACCTTCTTCAGGGAGCAGTTCACCATACCCGAGTGCGCTTCGCTTCGCCTCTCCTCTCCTCTCCGCTCCTCTCGCCGCCGCCGATCACGACCCCGCTAACGTCAAGGCTGCTGCTCGCAGGGTCGGGGTAGCACTGGCACGCGTGCAGGACAAGGTCAGGGCCTGGAGGGCTTAGGGCCGCTTCGGGGTGTCTGCGCAGACCAGTGTCGGCAAGAGTGTGTTCGTTATTGTGGCCGACCACCAGTGGTTGAACACGAATGGCCATACAACCGCATTACTTGGCGAAGCGACCGCAGACGTTGTTGAGGGTGTTGAGGTAGGGCGCGAAGAAGGCGGATCCGCAGAGGAACTGCACGACCTTGAGCGACGCATCCTCGGCCGCGGCTTTGTCGTTCAGGAACGACTTCACGCTCTTCACCACCACCTCGGCTGCTCGTGTGCAGTCCTCCACCTGGCCACACGGGCAAGCGACAGTGAGACCCCAGCCGAGTTCTATGTGCGCGTGCGCGTACCCGATTGGAGGATTCGACTTCGCTTTGAAGCTCTTTGAGGATGATCGGCAGTGAGATGGTGCCCACGTCGTAGTCATGGGCGATGGCCAGAATGCTCCGCAGACCCTGCACCTGCGGTGAGTCCACCGTGAAGTCTGTGATGATGGTGATGATGGTGAGGAGGAAGGCCACGTTGAACATCCGGGACAAGAGAGGTGTCAAGAGGGTTGCTTGCGCGTACTGTTGACGGGGTCATTGTCGCCCACCAGATGAAAGGCGATGTGGGCTGCCTCAAGGTTTGAGTGCCGCGTAATGAACACGTCGCCTGTGTGAGGGGGTGGATGGCGCACAAAAAAGTGAGGCCAGCCACGCATCCGCAGTCGGCAGTTGCAGAGGAAGGAATAAGGGGGAGGTACCGGGCTGCATGGGCCGTCCCAGCTCGTCCTTGACCAGCTGCAGCTGCTTTTGAAAGTCGCTAAATGTGCCTCGGGCGAAGCGCCGCAGCACCGCACAAACTCTGCACGCGAGGGACCGGTGGTTTCGACGAATGGTTGTTGGCTATATAATGAGAATGGAGGACACAGACGAGCTTGTGCACGTACCTTTGTTGACCTTGTTGGTGTAGGTGAGACCTCGGTCGACCACCAGCACGATCGCGTTGAGCGAGTGCGAGTACAGATCTCGAATTGTCTGCGCCCGCACTGCAATTGGACACCGTTCATTGCCACACGGCACGCACAGTTGGAATGCAAGAGAATAAGAGAATGGGAAATGAATGCGTTGGAAGGGGTGGTTAGGGTACCTTCGGAGGAGGCTCGGAGCCGACAAAATTGTGTGATGTCCCCCGCACCGAGGCCAAAGTGGTGGAGGGCCTTGCTGCGTCCCAGAAGCACCGTGAAGTGCTCCCACTTGGTGCTGCCCGATGGCGCGCTCGCCAGCGCTGGCACCTGGTACTGGGGCTGAGGCTGCTGTTGCTGCGGCTGCTGGCCGACGCTTCCTGACGATCTTAGTTGCGGCGAATCAGGCCTAGCCACACCGCACACGACACACATCGCACGACACACAACAAGCCGTTAGGGAAGTGGTCTCAACACGGGCGTTGGCGGTGATACGCGTACCCCTCGTTGGCCTCACCACCCTTCTTTTTGTTCCACCACCGCTTCTTGCCCTCCTGCTCCCTGCCGCCCGGCGATCCGCGCTGTTCCGGGTGCTGCAGGTCCGACTTCTTACGCGCCAGCGGAGACGCCGTCAGCGATCCGCCCCCTGTGAACCACGGACTGGAGTCAGCGACCAGGCATCACCACCGCACACACGCCACCGCACACGCACACACGGCACAAGCGCGCGTGATTGGGTCAAGTTTGGCACCTTGCTTTTTGGCGGCCTTGAATTCGTGAAGGACGTCGGCGTTGACCTTGTTGGGGAGCCCCTCGGTGGCCCATCGCACGATGCAGCGGCCGTAGGCCCGCTTCTGCTGTTTCCGCATGTCCTCGAGCTTGGCGCCCCACTTCCGCTCGGTGAGCTCCATCTGCTTCACGTGTCGGGCCACCAGCGATGATATTTCTCCGCCATCCTGTGTTGTGCGGTGTGAGCGTGTGTGTGCGTGTGCGTGTGCGTGTGCGTGTGCGTATGTGCGTGTGTGCGTGTGTGCGTGTGCGTGCGTTAGCAAATGAGTGCCAGAATGCAGAAGGAGTCTAGTCTCAGTACCCCGGCTGCTTTGTTCATCTCCTCGCTTTGTTTCTGATGCAGCTCGCTGATGGCGGCCTCGCTCTTGTTGATGACCTCCTCGAGCATGGCGGCGTGGATCTCGTTCATCCGCGCAATCGCCGCGCAGCCCTTCTGCGTGTTGACCACCGACCCGTAGGCCTCCGCCAACTGTTCACACGCCACCACGCAACCACGCATCGTTGACTGGCCTGAACCGAACCGAAAGAACACGCACAGAGCTCGAAGTGGAGAGAGAGAGAGAGAGACACGCACGATCAGCTTGGTCTTCTCCTTCTCCGTGAGCTCCACAGAGTCCTGGTAGGCGGCATTGCGCTGCTTGAGGGCCGCCGTCCAGTCGTCCGCTCCGTCCCTGGCCCGCTTCTGGTCGAACACCGGCTCCACCCAGTGGCTCGGGCACAACGCCGCCTGCCACCACCCGCGAGACCCTGTGCGTAAGACACGACGTAGAGCAGAAGAAGAAGGAGGAGCTGATGGTGGTGGTGAAGAACCTCTTCGCGGTGCAGGGAGTGGAGGGCGGAGAGGAGAGGCAGCTCGAGGATAGGGCGGCACGTCCTCGTGCGCCAGGAGCCGCCGCACGTCGCCCTCGGCCAGCCGCCGGCCGCAGTCGTCCTCGGCCCACCGGTCCAGCAGCGTGCCGTCCTCGCCGCCGCCGCCGGCGCTGCTGCCGGCCTCCGCTCCCGGCTCGCTGCTGCCCCCGGGGCCGTGGAGGGTGAGCACGGCGTACCGGCCACCCACGGCGAATCGCAGCGTAATGAATGAGGAAACGGTTGATTGAGCTGCCGCGGTCGATGGCGAGGAAGGTGGAACCAACAACATAGATGATGACGAGGACCCATTACTGCCGGCCCTCGTGGCTCGCGGAGTCCCCTCCATATTGATTGTTTAAATTTATTTTTCCATTTGTTTTTGGTTTTTGATATATTTTAAAAATATCAAAGAGCATGCTTCGCATAGTTTCAATATTGTAATTTGATTTATTATTAATTTCGCTGCACTTGCGCCTTTCGGTGCAGGTTGCTCTTTCAGTTCTGTGACCGGCACATCAGATTGTAATTCTACCCTTTGCCCTTTCAGTTTCTTCGGCACAGAAGCAAGAACCGTTATTGACGCGAGGCCAGCTCGTCATCGTGAGCACCGACCGAAGAATTCGTTTGAATTCATTTCATCGCGAGAACAAAACGGATTGGAGCAGGCGAGAGAGAGATTTGAAGATGGAGGGGCCTGAAGGAAAGAAGACGTATGAGGCCACCCCAGACTTCGCCTTCGAGCTGAAGGAGCTCAAAGAGGAGGAGGAAAAGGCCCAGAAGGAAGCCCAGGCCAAGGAAGAGGTCGTCCAGGCAGAGGAAGACGAACTCAAGGATGCAGAACATGTTGGGCATGAAGAGGACGACGCCAGCACAGTGCTCTTTCCCCCCCAGATATATATTTATTCATCTATCATTTATTATTTATTATTTATTTTTATATAATATATATCTGAACCAGCAGGAAGAAGTGAAGGGCAAGGCGAAGGGCGACGTCGATGACGAGGAAATGGCGAAGGAGCTCCTCGTATCGGACAAGAAGGACGACGCTGACAAGGAGGAGCAGACGGACGACGGCAAGACGGGGGAGAAGAAGGATCAGCCGCCGCCGCAGCCGCTCGAGCCCGCCAAGGTCAATGAGGTCTTCGAGCGGCTGCCCGAGGAGACACGCATGAGCATCGACACCCACCGTACCCTGCCCTGCATTGCTAATCGCACGCACGCACACACCGCACGCACTGCGCACACCGCACACACTCATAGATCGAATGTTGGCGTGTGTGGCTACAGCAGGAACGGAGGACGGTGAGGAGGACCCGTTCATGCCGCGGGACAAGAGCGTGCAGCTGCCGTCGAGCCGGCGTAAGGAGCTGCAGTTCCCGCCGCCCGCGTCGGCGCCCAAGACCGAGGAGGAGCTCGCGCGCGAGCGCAAGGAGCAGCAGAACGCCGAGTGGAACCGCCGGAAGCGCGGCGTGGCCCAGGCCAAGAAGGAGTTCGACCGGGCTTTCATGAGCGACGAGAGGCGGCTCAAGGAGGAGGAGAAGGAGGCCAAGCAGCGGGCCAAGGAGGCCGAGAAGGAGGCCAAGGCCCGCGAGAAGGGCGACGCCAAGCGGATGGCCGAGGAGGAGAAGCGGCGCGAGCTGCTCGAGGCCAAGCTGGCCGACGCCAAGGCCGCGGCCGCCCTCCAGCTGGCGACGTGAGGCCGAGCTGCGGCGCACGCTGTTGGTCGAGAAGTACACGCCCGAGGGCTGGCAGCTGTCGAACAAGATCGACAAGATCCTGATCACCTTCAACCACCCTCTCCTCCCCGAGGGCGACGACGACCTCACGCACCTCGTACGTGCACACCACATTACACAGTGTGATCTCTTCAGCTTTATCAACACCGTTGCGTGTGTGTTTTGCAGGAGTGGCGGCCTGTCATCACCCCGGAGCCGCTGAAGGCTGGCGTGTGGCGGCTCGACGGCACCAACACGCTCGTCTTCCAGACCGACAATCCCGAGGACGACCGTGCCTGGGCCAAGGCCACCCAGTACACCGTCAGCGTAAGTATCCACCTGGACGATGAGCACATTTAGGCTCAGCCTTCTCATCGCATCTGTATTGTCTCCCCTTATTTCGGTTGTGTGCAGATTCCCAAGGGAACAAAGGCGCTGGGCGAGGAAGAGCCTACGCTGAAGGAGGACTTCAGCTTCCAGTTCAAGACCCCCATCGTGAAGGTGCGCAACAGCACCGAACCCTCTGGCTTTTCCCGTACCGTTCGTTCGTGGCGTTGACCTTACTTTCACGAAATTCGTATGTACTCCAGGTCATCAGTTCGTGCCCTCCGGCCCCTGTGGGTAGGCGCGGCGAATACGACAGGCGGCCGCTCGACCCTGTGTTCCTCGTGATCTTCGACCAGCTCATCTCACCGGAGGAGGTCATCCCGACGATCGGTCTCTATGCCGGGGCGGACCTGAAGTGGGAGAAGGACCCCGCACCCTTCGCGCCGCTGAGGATCCTCGAGAGGGACTCGCCCGAGCTCGCGTACGTCGCCAGTTGGCTCAAACTGTTTACATTCATTTTTTCCCCCAAGGCTAACCGGTGAGTACTCCCACTTTTGTTTTCAGCGCCGACGAGGACGTGGCGCAGGGTTTCCTTGACCCGGCGGTTGAGGGTCGTTCCCTCGCCTTCACCTGCACGAAGCTGCTGGCGCACGATACCACCTACACGCTCAAGATCGGACCTGAGGTACATGTCCCGGGTCTCGCCCTTCCTGCCTGTAGAAGACCGTTTCTTACCAAAACTCTTCACACTGTATCGCGGCAGACACCATCGACCGAGGGTCCTTTGACGTCGATCGAGCCGCATCTGGTCACCTTCACTACTGTCCCGCAGTTCGATGTCACTCGTACGCCACCGCCCCCATGAAAATCGGGTTGCATTCACCTAGTGCCACTGTGGGGTTGGCCACGGAACAGCTTTTCACCTGACATTTTGTGCATCATCTGCAATGCTGAACAGGAATCGAGTCTGTTCGCCCTGACAATTGCACCATCACGTTCAACCAGGCCATCGTGCCGGTCGGTGGCAAGTACACCGCCGAACACTTGGTACACGCTATATACGTTACATCAGCCAAACGATGCTAGCGTACCACTGGCTCACCAAATTAACTTTTTCTTGCCTCCTTCGCAGGCCAAGCTGCCCACGATCACACCGACCCCGCCTGGCGAGGGCAGCTGGATTGCGATCGATCGCCGGCTGATCTACTCGCTGCCGGCTGGGGTCAACTGGCAACCAGCGACGGAGTACCAGGTCCTGCTGCCCGCATCGACGCCGAGCCTGTTCAGCGCTGAGCTCAAGTCCAAGGACGGCATGTTCGGCCCCGAGGTGGTCAGCGACCGAGAGCTCGCGTTCTCTTCGCCGACCAACAGCGTGAGCGACACGCTCCCCATCTCGACCGTCGGCGTTACGGTGGCCACTCCCTTTGCCGTCGCCTTCCGTCAAAAGATCACCGGGATCGAGGAGGAAGTCTTGAGCACCATTCGGTACCGCCCGTCCTACACACACTTATCTTTTCTCGGGCCTGACAGCTCCACTCACGATCCAATCTGATATGGTAGGCTCTACACGTCTGGGCTTCTCAAGACCAACTACGCCGTGCGCCTGCTTGAGGCCGAGGATGTCAAGCGCTGGAGCGACAAGTTTGCCCAGCTCGACAAATTCCTCAAGCATCACGGGGAGGAGTACTGCCTGGTGTTCGCCAGCGTCAAGCTGTTGCCGCACAACACGTCGGTCACCTTGTCGATCGGTCCCAAGGTACACCACCTCACCGTAATCGAACCTTGATCACCCACACTCACGCCCCCACTACATTCAGGTTCCTTCGGCCGAGGGAGCGCTCCTCAACGACCAGGAGCACTCAGTGACCTTCACGACCGGGTCGCCGTTCTCCGTGAACAGTACGTTTCTGCACTCATTTCCCTATTTTCCAAAAACACGATTGGGTGGTGCATTGGTTGATCGAACCTTACTTACCCAGGCACGTATCCGACGGCCAAGCAGCAGCTGCACCTCCAATACTCGGGCACGGCGACAGTGTCCTTCACGCAGCCCATCATCCCCGCCGGCGGCACCATCGACGATTTGGACTGGCGCCCTGTCCTCGAACCCGAACCCAAGGACGGCGGTGACTGGCGCGTGATCAGCGACCACACGCTCGCCTACCAGCCCCACAAGGCGTGGACTCACTCCACCGAGTACACCATCACGGTACTCGTCCTGTTCACATGCGGTGTGCGTGCGTGCGGCATGTTGCGCTGGTCTGCTAATCGGGAGCCAATTCGATTGTCCGGGTGTGCCCCCCTTCAGATCCCGGTGGAGGCCAAGTCGCTGCTGGAGGACCCCCTGGAGAAGCAGTTCTCGTATTCCTTCACCTCTTCCCTGATCAACGTACTACACCAGTACCCGAGCGCAGGTGCCCACAGCCCGGCGTCCAGGCAACCAGTCATTCTCGTCGTGTTCGACCAGGAGATCGAACCCGAGGTACAATACCCCCTCCGCTCGCTCTGCGCGGGCACAGTCATCTTGGATTGGCTCATTTTGATGCGCTGCAGGAGGTGATTGGCTGCGTGCACGTGTCTTCGTCGCGCTGGGGCGGTGGACACGAGCTCCGCCTGTTGGCCGAGGACGAGGTGCCCGAGATGCCCGAGACCAAGAACTACTTTAAGCCCCAGGGCCGCTACCTGGCCTGCCAGCCCACAGAGCCCTTCAACTACGAGGACAGCGTCACCGTCAAGATCGGTCCCAAGGTACTCCCCACCTCACTACGCCACTTCCCCAGAGCCACTACTCAATCCACAATAGGTCCCATCTGCTGAGGGTCCAGTGCTGTCGTCGAGCACGTGGAACTATAACTTCGTCGTGGTCCCCAAGTTCACGGTCACTTGTACTTGCTTCCTCTCCTTTTCTCTCTCGTTCCGGTGTACGACAAAGGCCTTACGCATGCATTGTACCACCCGCCAGATTCCTCCCCGAGCGGGAACAACCAACACGCGGCGCCGGTCAGCATCTCGTTCAACCATCCTCTGGTACCCGCGGACGACGTAGACCTGAAGCACTTGGTACGCACCACCTCTTTCTTTATGGGGCAATTTATTTATTTATGTATTTCTTTATTATTATTTTTGGTGCGTCATGGGCTGGAGGACTGATGGACCACACGCACACGACATGTGACGCACAGGCGTGGAGACCGGTCATCACCCCCACGCCCCCCGAAGGTGAGTGGAGCCTTAGCTCGGTCTCTACGCTCATGTACACTCTGGCCAAAGGACAAATCTGGGCCAGGTCGACTGAGTACAAAGT